CCACGGGAGGGGTTTGTGGAAATCCTGCCCACTCCTCCCACCGCAGCCTCCTGTCCTACGTGGCTCCCGGCCCAGAATCGTGCCCAGCGATCACAAATGGGGCTTTGTGTTCCCGAGACAAAGAACACGCTCCTTACCCCCAACCTGGGCCAGGGCTTGTCTTTCTTGCCCCAGCCTTGGCCGTAGAAGGGATGGGGCCACAGGAGGGGAGCTGAGGTCTAGAGACAGGCAGGTCTCTGGAGCCAGAAGAGGGGGTCTGCCCCTGGTTTGGGGGTGGACATGGAGCAGAGAGACGGTATGTTGGCAAGGATGAAGCTGCAGTCCTAGGCACTGTGGGCAGAAAGGAAGTAAGAAATAATACGACTATTATCGCCACGAGAGAGGCCAGATTCCAGCCCCGGAGGGGAACAGAATTCCATTTAACCCAGCGAGTGTGTTTTGAGTCTTTCCTACGTGCCAAGCGGTGTGGGAGGCACGGCATGAATCAGACATTGTCCCTGACATTTAAGAGATAAGATGAGCGTGTAAAATACCATAAAACAAGAGAACAAGACACCAAGGTCGCAGAATGGTGCCAACAGGCAGGGTTGAGGGGCTGGGTGGGGAGGGGTCGTGGCTGCCTTTCCGGAGGCTGCAGGCCATCCACAGAGCTGGGGCAGCCGAGATTTCAGAAACGGGAGGCAGCGAGGCGTGTTTTCTGAGGATGAAAAGAAGCTCAGGTCTTGATGTCTGGGGAAGCCCTCTGCTGCTGCCCGATTCCCTTGTCTGCTTTCTCGTCTGCGTATCACTTCCTACTTCCTACTGAGAGTGTATTCTTCAGTGGCAAGCAACTTTTGTCAGCTCCCCACGCTCCTGAGAGCCCCAGGGGAGCAGGGCTGGGCGGTCCTGTACTTCGCTGTATCCCCACTGCCTGGGACACAGTAGGCCCTCGACACAGATCAGCTGAATAAAAGGAATATTCATACAAAGAATATACACGTAATCGTCTGCGGCATCCGGATGGTGGTATGGAGATGGTCGTGTTTCCCCCACGACTTCTGGCTTCTCTTTTAGCATTTTTTTCCCGTCATTCCAAGTCTTTGAGCATATCCTTCTTTTTTAATTTTTTTTTAAGATTTTATTTATTTATTTGACACACAGAGAGAGAGATCACAAGTAGGCAGAGAGAGAGGAAGGGAAGCAGGGTCCCTGCTGAGCAGAGAGCCCACGCAGGCAGAGCCCGATGCGGGGAGAGCCCGATGTGGGGCTCGATCCCAGGACCCTGGGATCATGACCTGAGCCAAAGGCAGAGGCTTTAACCTACTGAGACACCCAGGTGCCCCCTGAGCATATCCTTCTTAACAACCATGTCATAGTCCATGATATTGACACGACATTGTCTCTACTTTGCTAGCCCCACCCCTCCTCGTTTTTATCCAGTTGTATGGGTGGGAGATCAACAAGGGAACAGGAAAAGGAGGGAAGGGGCTTTCCTAATGGAAGGCAGGGTAGGGCGAGGGCACTGTAGGTATGGGGAGAGGGGATAGGAGCAAAATCTTAAGAGTATTGAGTTCAGGAGTGTCTAGAAGGCTATGTGGCTAGGGAATCTGGTGCCCAGTGGTGTGTTGTTGAACTGACCCCCCACCCCCCCCAAGCCCCTGCATTGTCGCATTTGCCAGTTTCCATGGGAGTCAATTCTCCTGCCACGGATGGTTTCACGTTCCCATTGTGGCGTTGCTGAACATCGAGTGGGAGATGGGCACAGCCATCCCTGACCTTGGAGTCTATCGATCAGAGTTCTCTGCTGAGATGCGAAGCCCCAGGTTCTTTCTGTGCAGCAGCCTGGAGCCGTACTGGCTACTAAAGTGTGGTTGCTCCATCACTTCCTGGAATTCAGGGTGGGGCCTGGTGTTCCACTTAGGGGGAGCTCGGTGTCAGGCACAGTCATGGGTTCAGGATGTCCTCCTATGGCCATGACTCTTGCTGAGTCCTTGCTATATGCCAGACTGTGCTAAACATCTGACTTTTTCTTCATGCCATCCTCACACCCAGGCGATGAGGTGGGTGCTGTTATTATGCCCAATTTACAGATAAAGAAACCGAAGCCCCCAGAAGGTGTCCAAGAACACCCAGCTCATAGTGTAGGTGCCACAATTCAGTCCCAGGTTGGGTTGACCGGATGCTAGAACTTCTGCTCTTATCCCACGAGCTCAGCGTCTCCTGCCACTGAAAGCAGTGTGTCCCAGGGGCGCTAGGCTAGGGAGAGAGCTGGCCGGAAGAGGATTGTGGGTTTGTCTTTAAGGGCTTCGACGAAGTGGAAAGGGAGGAGGCTAAGCATTTCTTGAGCATCTACTAGGTGCCAGGAATGATAACAGCTGCCTCACACTGCCTCTGGATCAACTCTCACAACAACCCGTGAGAACAATGAGACCTTTCCCACGTGACAACCCAGGCTTGGGTGCTCGTGATAGTCTACTCTCTCCTCTCCGAGCTAGGTAGCACCCAGCAGGTGACACTCCTTCTCTCTGCTCCCTTCACCCTTTGGTCCCTTGACGGGAGCTGCCCCAGGAGACCTCAAACCCTCTGCCAGTTTCAAGTCAAAACTTCTCAGAACAACAGGAAGTGGCCAAGCCATTCGGAAAGTTTGAGGACTGAGGCCACAGTCCTGGGTGCATTTCAGGCTCCAGTGCTGGTTATTGGACAGGTGACAGAGCTGGCTCCCTGGAGGCCTGGACTGCACATTTCATAGACTTCATAACCTCCCTGGGGGCCTGGGGAGGGGCATCCGGGAATGCGACTTCTTGCTCAGCTCCGGAAGATTGGCCGAGTTGGCTGATGGCAGTTTGGCTGGCAACCCAGGTGGCCCCAGGACTGGGCCCCTCAGGTTCCATCAGGGGTCCCTAGAGGCCAGAGAGCCTATCTGAGATCTCTGCAGGAGCTCAGACAAAAAAGGGTTAGCCAAAAGCTCTCACCTAGGTGGGGGTGGAAAAGGGACAGGGCGCCTGTCTTGAAGCAACACGCGCACAGCAAGTACATTTTCCTCTGATAAGGCTCGGGGATCACCAGTAAGGCACACAGAGGAGGTGGGTGGTAAACACTCACTTGTGGCCACCGCAGTTCTGGATTCAACCCTGGATCACCTCTCGTACTCTGCTGAAGGGTACCCTGCAGTACTTCTAAGCCTTGGGGCCAGCCCTGCTAGACCCATATCCCAGATAGGGTAACTGAGGCCCAGTCTTTGGAAGTTGGAGACTCATCAGACAGCGGCCAGCTTGGGGGAGAACTCAGAGAATCCCTTATAAGCTTGGCTGGAGTGTTGGGTGGGAAGTCAAGGGGGGAGCTTGGGAGGCAGATCACTGGCTACTCCCGGGGCTGTTCCAGGCCCTTCTGGTCCCGCCAGTCTGGGCGTCGGCTGGAGCAATCATTCAGCTGGGGCCTTCCCATTGGTGCCCAACCCTGGGCTGACCGAAGTGAGTCAGGCTTGGTGCCAGCTCTTCCAAGAACTCTTAGGCGGGTAAACAACAAACTCATGGGGAGAAATGTGTAAGTATCTATCCTGGGACAGGCTCTTCCTGTTGCATTGTTTCAGATGTGTTTTTCAAACTCCAAGTTTTGACACTTGAGAAATGGACAAATGTGGAACTGAGAAGCAGAGAAAAAGAGAAGGAAACCTCTGTCTGGGATAGAAGGGTATCTTGGAAGGCTTCTTAGGAGAGGTCATGTGATGTTTGAGTTATACCTTGAAGAATAATAATAATAGCAAACTCTTTCTATAAGCTTCTTTTTTTTAAAAGATTTTATTTATTTATTTGACAGACAGAGATCACAAGTAGGCAGAAAGGCAGGCAGAGAGAGAGGGGGAAGCAGGCTCCCCGCTGAGCAGAGCCGGATGTGGGGGATCCCAGGACCCTGGGATCATGACCTGAGTCAAAGGCAGAGGCTTTAATCCACTGAGCCACCCAGGCGCCCCTTCTATAAGCTTCTTATGTGCTTTATGTTTTATGTTATTTTTTTGAGACCTGTATCTGCTTCTTTCGTATCTGCTTTATCTCATCCAATTCTCTCAAAACGCTATGAGCAAAATACTATGTTATTCCTGTTGAACAGTTGAGAAAAGGAAGTCAAGGCACAGAGAGGTTAAGTGACTTGCTCAAGACCACACAGCTAGCAAGCAGTGGAGTTAGGATTCAAATCCAGAAAGGCAAGCCAATTACTGACTGAGGCTTTCCCTGAGCTATCTAATCCCTCTGAACCTGTTTCTTTATCCATGCAATGAGGGCGATAGTGCAATAGCACTTAGTGCACAGAATTACGGTGAGGACGAAGACGATACAATCCCCGGAAACCGCTTAGAACAGTGCCTGGCACACAGTACGTGTTCAAAGAGTTGTAAATGACTTCTGTCGCCGCCGTCGCGGTTGTCTTCAGGCTTCCCCTCCCCCCTCCGGCCGCGGCTGCCTCCCCCGCAGTGCCAGCTCGTGACGTGGGAGCTGCCGCTCGCACAGTCTGGGTTTAATTGGAAACTAAACGAGAAGGAAGGGGATGTTCGAGGCCCCTCCCTTGACTCTGAACGGAACCCCCCGCCCCAGCCCCTCGCCCCGGGGCATGTGCGACTCCCTCTTTAGCGACACCTCCCGCCGACCGCGGGTACTGCTCCCGCACAGAGCACGCGACTGGGACCGAGGAGGCGGCGCGGGGATGGGAGGCAGGGGAGGGCCGGGGAGGTGCGACTGTTCTGGAGGGAGGGCAGGCAGGGGACAGGCTGTGTCTTCTGAGCTCGGTGCCAGCTCACCACGAGCCAGAGGCCACGCCCGCCTTGGCAGTGGGCCGCTCCCCACCTGGCAGTCTCAGCGCGCCCAGGTCTCCGTGGTCGGTGCGCTCGGGCGCGCTTGGCTGGGGTGCCGGCAGAGGGCGCGCGAGGGGGCCCGGGGACGGGCGGGGGACACGCGAGAGGCGGGATTGGGGGGAGGGCTCTGGGCTGCCCCTCCCGCCCCCTGTCCGCCCACCCGGAGCTCCAGACCGGGAGGCAAGAGCTGCGGGTACCTCCTGCGCGCTCTGCCTCCTCCGCGCCACGCTCCTACCTGTAGAGTCCGAGGGACTCCCCCTCCCCGGACACCTATTCTTTCTCCTCCGGAAACCTCCCGCCTAGCTACCCGCGTCTCACACAGGCGGCGCTGGGACCCCGGGACGGGGCGCCAGGCTCGCATCTGGTGACATGTAGATGCCCCCTCGGTGGTCCAGCCTCGGCACCTGGGCACCCTTCTGGCCGTAAAGTTTGGGGCTGGGCGCCATGGCCAAGAGCAGCTCCCTGAATGTTCGCGTGGTGGAGGGCCGGGCGCTGCCCGCCAAGGACGTGTGAGTACCCCGGGGCGAGTCGCGGGTGAGAGGCGCAGCGGACATGGGCTGGGGCGGGGGTCGCCCGTTCCGCATGCCGGGGAGGAGCGGTGAGGTGGGCCCGGGGTTCCTGTTTAAGACACAATATTGGTGCAGATCCGCTTCCACAGGGCTAAAACCTCATGCCCATCGCTGTCCTATCGGAAAGGGGCGCCCAGACTTAGCAGATGCGCCACCCTGCCCCAGGAAGGGGGATGTCTTTGTTCCTGGGATGTACTAAAGGGGATTGGAGGGTCGGATTTTGTTGGAGCTGGGAGGGTAGTGTTGGGGGGGGTGTCTCTTCCTTAGTTCAGGCAGGTACCAGAGGTGGGGCTTCTCCAGACCAGGGTGGGTGCCTATCTAAGGAACCCTGGGAAGAAAGCCCAGAGCACCGGGTGGCCCCAGCATTCCTCTGTGTGCATCTGGTGTTTAGGTTCAAAGACAGTCATCAGATGGTCCACCAGCCAGACCTGGGGGAAACTGGGGTCCTCTGGACCCAGAGCCCTGAGCTCCCCAGCAAGGAGCTCCCTGTGTGGGCCTTACCTGGATGCTGAGTCTCTTGAAGACGCCACCCCCAAGCCCCCCCCCCCCCGCCCCCGTAACACCCTGTCCAGCCAGGTGTGATGGGGGCTGGAGGACCCTCGGGCTCCTGTGGGTACCAGTCCTTGGCTCTACTTCCTCTAGGGCTGAGTCAGCAGTTGCCGAATCAGCAGAATGGCAGGAGGGGTCCCCCTCCTGCTTGGCCTGGAGCCCAGAGGGGCTCTGAGGTGTCAGCACCTGGGACAGGTGTGGGATTCTTGGCAGGACATCAGCTGCGTGACTTTGAACCTGGTCCTCCTGGGTCTCGATTTCCCGCCTGGACAATGGGAGCTCTGGACAGGGGCTCTTCAGCCTGGAGCAGCTGTGAGGGGTGGAGAACCTGTTAGGATTTACCCCGTGGCCAAGGGTGAGCAGAAACCTGGATTCTAACCCTCTACCCAAGTTGAGATGAGGGCTTAGCTATGTTCTGACGCCCCCCAGCTGTGGGTCCCCAGTGAAGGGTCTCCGGCCTTTGAGGGCTGCCGAGAGAGGTTTTAGCTTCCCTTCATCCTCATCATCTACCCCAAATAAACATGCACCTGGGATAGAGGCAGAGCGCTTGCTGTGTGAATGCAGCATCTGGACAAGCCCCTGCTTCCCTCCTTCTGGGACACCCTCTCAGAGCCTCGGAGAATGACATTCTGGAACTGTCAGGGCAGTGAGGCCAGGAATGGGGGCCTGGAAACTGCCAGAGGGCTGGGGTGGGGGGCCCTCCAGAAATCAGGTTTCCATCTCCCGGTCCTGGGTGAGGCCATTAGGGTGTGGACATGGTTCACGGTGGGGACATGGCTTGTGGGGTGGACACGGCTCGCGGGGGGTTCCTTCTGCCTCTCCTGCAGATGGAGTTAACTCATACCTGCTTCCTACACCTCTTGGCCGCCCTTTCTCCCCCCAAGTTCTCGGGTCAAGGTGAGCCCCAGAACAAAGGTGGGAAGAAGTCCCTAAACCCTAGTTGGGGAGCCAGCCCTCTGCCTCAGTTTCCTTAGCTGTTGGCTCCCTTCTTCAGAGAGGCTGTCCTCAGAGCCTGCTGGGATCTCCACACCCAGGGAGACTCTTAGATGGGGGTGTGTTCTCTCTCTGGTTTCATAAGGGAAAGGACCCAGCCTCATTCTGAAGCCGCATCAGGTTTGAGGGCAGGGTCTGACCTGACTCCGGAGGAGGCCTCCACTGACAATTTTGAGAATTACTCGTGTTAATCATAGTAGCTGTAAGTCATCCAGGGCTTACTCTGGGCCAGGGCCTATACTTAACACTTCCTGAGGTCCTATAAGCATTTCCATTTACAAATGGGGGAAACAGGCCCAGAGAGGCAAAGTCACTTGCCCAAGGTCACACAGCTGGGATTTGAGCCCTTACTGGCCCCGTGCGTAAGCCACACTGGGCAGGCAATGGCTGAGGGGCCTTCTTTCCCACGCTTGAGTTGGGGCAGGGCCCATGGGAGAGGTCAAGGTTCTGGAGAGATTGAGGGTCTGGTGGGGGCACCCCTCCTGCCACAGCTGCTTCCTACCTGATGGGAGCCTGATAAGGCCCTTGTGCGTCAGAGCCGTGGAGCCGACAAGCGAGCTTGGCTCCCGAAGTGGGTGCCCCAGGGTCAGGCCTGGTTGACGGAAGGGGGCGGGTCTCCCAGCTCTTTGCTACTGGGATCCCAGCCAATCCTCCTCCACATCTGCTGTTGGGGAAACTGAGGAATGGGACCATACCTAAAAGAGGCTCAGAGATAGAGAACCCAGCCAGAGAAATGAGATCTAGGGGTCACCCAGCCACAGGCATCCCAGGGTGTTGAGCCAGATTAAGAAACTGAGGCTCTCAGGGTTACTCAGCCCAGAGGGTCTGAGGTAGATTCAGAAGGGGAAACTGAGGCCTAGGGCACTACTCAGAAGGGAGTTCAGCAGTAGAACCCAGAAAAGAATGTAGGGACATAGGCCACCACCCAGCCTGAGCTGTTCAGGGATAGAGGCCAGATGGGGAAATGGAGGCACTGGAGCACCCACACGGAGGGAGCTGGGGACAGGAGTCCAGAGAGGAAACTGAGGCACAAGGAAGGACTCAATCCAGCAGACAAGGCTCAGACTGCCACTGGCTTCGGGTGCCAACAGCCCCTCCCCTGAAATCCCGTGGTAACTGTGGATTGGTGACCGATTAGAGATGGCAGAGAGAGAGTGTGGGGCCTGGGGCATCAAAAGAGGGGGTGACTTGGGGAGAGCATTTGAGCTGGGGTGGAGGGGACATTGGTTAGGAGCATGCATGCTGAGCCCCCTAGACCTGGGTTTGAATTCCAACTCAGGAGGGGGGTTGTGGGATGGAGGATACAGGTCCTCCCCCAAGGAGCTCACAGGTCAGAAGTTTGAGGGAGACAGACACTAAACACAGAGAGAAACAGGGAGCAAGATGCTTTCTGGTGCCCAGGGGGATCGGAGGTCAATTTCACAGAGGACAGAGGTAGTCAGGGATGGCCTCTCTGAGGTGGTGACTTTGGGGCTGAGGATTGAATAGCAGGACTGAGGCAGCCATGACAAGATCGGGGACAGCGTGTCTTAGGCAGCTGCAATGGTGAGTGCAAAGGCCCTGAGGCTGCACTCAGAACTTGGGGGAAGACAAAGGAGGCCTGTGCGATGAGACAGAGGGGAGATGAGGGCCCTAGCAGACAGCTTGGGATGGGGCTGGTAACTCTTATAATGAAGGGGGGGGTGGAGCTGCGTTTGGTTGGCTCATGGCTCATGCCTCCTCAAGGGGCTGCTGTTGGTTGTGGTTTTGAGATCTGGGTGCCCTGGTCTGTGCCAGCAGAAGTGGTCTCACTGGGCTGAGCACTGGGAGTCCCCCCCACCCCACCCAGGGAAAATCTGGTGGAAATGAAAAGTTGGCTGAGAGGGTAGGGGGTCCTGGAGTAGAGCTCTGGGGCCAGCCCATGATGCCTCCCACCATGCGTTATCTCCTTTAGTTCCTGCAGCCACCCCTACCCCCACCGCCCCCACCAGGAGATGTGTGTTACCATTATAGGGAGGAAAAACTAGCACCCACAGAGACAGGGGGTGGGGCTTGTTGGGTTCCACAGCGAGCAGGCGGTAACCCCGAGAAACCTCTCTAACATGGGCTGTTGACCATAGCTCTGGGCTTCCTGGGACCAGCCCTGGGAACTTCCTGGCCTCAGTCCTCAGTGTTCTGTTTCTATATGTGGAAGCCTAGAGAGACCACGCATGGGGGTCGGACATCAGTGGATGGGCTGTGTACCCATGACATCTCCTGCCGGTCCCCTGAGATTCTGCCTCTTAACCCGACTTGCTGTGTGACCCTGGGCCGGTCCCCTCCCCTCTCTGGGCCGCAGTTGCCCCATCCATACATAATGAGGGTGGACTGGGACCTCCACTCGTGGCTGCCTTCTCGACCTCCCTCCTGAACGTCCTCCTCCCACAGGTCTGGGAGCAGTGACCCCTACTGCATCGTGAAGGTGGACGACGAGGTGGTGGCCAGGTGAGGAGTGGAGAGGCCGGGCCTGGGGGAAGAGGAACAGGGCAGGGAATGGAGGAGGAGCTCCTTCTAGACCTGAGGGGTCCAAGCACAAGATTTGATGTTGAAAAGAGGAGCCGGGTGAGGGCAATGCCTATGCCAAGAGCGGACGAGGGACCTGCCAGTGGATGCTTTGTGCTTTGGCCCTTCTGGGGACAGACAGCTGGCGCTCCCAGCTCCCCTCTCCATCCTGCCCCTCCGACTGGCCGACACCTTCCCCCTGGACCAGATGATGTCCCTGCCAGTGTCCTGGGGCTGACTCAGCGGCTGCCCGCCTGTGCCTCCCACCGTGGCCTCCCTGGAGGCGGGCATCTCACGCTTGGCTGGGCTGGCTGGTTCCGGGCCTGCTGGGTGCTGCGGGCACTGGGGCGTGTGTGTATGTGTGTGTGTGTGTGCATGCGTGCCCAGCTGGGCCTTCTTGTGAGTGGTGGGGGGTGTTGGAGGGCTGACGTGAATGTCTGTGACTGCATGTGCATGTCCCTGGGGGTGTGCAGCTCACAGGCTCACACTGTGTACCAGTGGAGGGTGTGTGTGTGTGTGCGTGTGCGCACACCCGTGGGCTGCCCGGCATACACACGTGAGCACCAGTGTCTGCTTGTTTGGGTACACGGACGCCTTCGTGAGCACAAGTGAGGACATGAGGGTGTTTGCTGCATGAGTGAGTTTGGGCGGGGTGGAGGGACGAGGGGCTTGGCGGTGGTTGGCTCCCGCCCCTGCAGGCTGAGGGAGAGCTCTCCGCCCCCGCAGGCCTGAGGGGTGTGGGTGGGCAGGTGGGCGGGTGGCTGAGTCCTGGGTTCCTATGGAGACAGCAGGATTCAGGATGCTTCTGGTGCTGGTTGCAGTCCGGAGGGGCTGGGGGCAAGGGGGTGGGGAGCCCACATGGGGGAAGGTCAGCCTGCAGTGCCCCAGCTGACCCCCTCCATTGCTCTCTATGCTCATGCTGCCCCCTCCCCACACGCTGTGATACCACCCCCAAACCCGCAGAGAGATTTCTGTGGGATCCCAGGCTGCTATTCTGTGCATCTCTGGGCCCTGAAGAGGGACTTCCAGCTATGAAAAGAGGGGGACAGGGGGAAGAGGGTGTTCAAGAAGATGGGTCCCTCTGACTGTGGTGCTCTGGGCTGGGGTAGAGGGCAGAGTGTGCATCTTTGTGTACCTGTGTGTGGGTATATTCACAGTCTTTGTTGGGGAAGAGGGCAGAGCAAGGGATAAAAGGAGTGGCCCAGTTCTGGTTCGATCCAATTCTGCACCCATAGATTGGGTGTGTCTTCAATGGGCAAAGTAGGTTCCTCATTCCCTGCTGGATAAAGTGCATAGGCAGGGGTGTCGGAGTGAGGATGCTCTCTGTGTGTGTCTGTTTCTAGGCTTGCTTGGGTCCCTAACCCACCTGTGGTTCCCTCTCACTTCCTGAGTGCTCTGGCTCCTGCTGACTTCAAGGTCTCTTGGCCCCCGCACACTTCCCATTCACCATCCAGTGCTTTCCTGTTCCTCAGACTCAAGTTCACTCCTGCCTCAGGGCCTTTGCACATGCTGTCCCAGCCATCTCGTCCTCATCTTCTCTTCCCCCTTTGCCTGACTGGCTCCTGCAGGAAGCATTTTCTGACTCCTCCAATCCACACCCCCAGACCTAGCCAAGTGCCACTGAGCTCACCCCAACCACAGGACTTGTCTTACTGTGTCATGTGTCATAAGAGTTCAGGAGAGAGTACCTGCCCACTGAAGGGGGCTCTGTGGGGGCAGGGTCCTGGGCACCTCTTCCTCTGATTCTCCATAGCCCACAAGGTTTGGCACACAAGGTGTTCATGGAGTGAATGAGTGAATGAATGGAATTTGCATGTTGTCAGTTACTGTGTAAGGGATTCTGTGTGTGTATCTACCATCTGTCACCATACGTGTGTAAGTGTGTGTCTGTGGGTCTCTGTGTCTCTATGTGCTGGGCTTTTTTTTTTTTTTTGATCTGTGTATCTATGTGAATCTGTCTGTTTTCTCTGTATCTGTATGTGTCCCTACATAGGAACACATAGATATGCATTTCTAGAAATTTCTGAGGATGCCTGTGTGTATCTGTGTGTATGGGAATGTGTCTCTTGGCGTGTCTGTGTCTCTCTTTTCATGTCCAACCTTGTGGGAATGTGTGTGTGTGTGTGTGTGTGTAGGTCTCGGGGTATGTGAGTATTGGGGTTCCTGCGTGTGTATTTGTGTTTTGTTTTTGTTGTTTTAAGAAGGCACCATACCCATCATGGAGCCCAATGTGGGGCTTGAACTCATGACCCTGAGATCAAGACTTATTGAGATCAAGATTCAGACACTTTACTGACTAAGTCACGCAGGGACCCCTCTGTGTGTGTATTTGTGTGTGTATCTATGCACATCATGGATAAAAGTGTGAGGTTTGTGTGCATGTGTATGTCTGGGTCCCCAGGTGTCTGCCACCTGTGTGACCCAAGGGTCCCCAGCCCCCCTATGCCCTCCTCTGCAGAACAGCAACTGTCTGGAGGAGCTTGAGCCCCTTCTGGGGGGAGGAGTACACCATTCACCTGCCCTTGGATTTCCACCACCTGGCCTTCTACGTGCTGGACGAGGATACAGTGGGGTGCGTGTACTGGGGACCCCTGCTTGAGTACCTGGGGAAAGGCGGGATGCCCCAAAGCAAAGTATTCACCCAACTGACCCTTGATGCCTGTTCCCGCTATTTAATGACTCGGACCCTCACCTGCCCGCCTTTCCACAGGCACGATGACGTCATTGGCAAGATCTCGCTGAGCAGGGAAGAGATTGCAGCCGACCCCAGAGGTGGGTGAGGGGCAGCAGCCTTCAGCTGGGCAGAGGGAATATGGGTGGCCATGTCTAGGCTGGGCATTTGTGAGCATGTAGCAAGTGGCAGGGGAAGCAGTCTTCAGGGGGAAATTATTTCAGTTGTTGATTTTTCTTTTTCTTTTCTTTTCTTTCTTTCTTTTTTTGGGGGGGAAGAGAGAGTGAGAGAATGCTCACGCCCAAGGGGGGTGGGGAGGGGCAGAAGGAGAGGGAGAGAGAGAATCTTAAGCAGGATCTTTGCCTAGCATAGAGCCTGACACTGGGCTCAGTCTCATGACCCAGAGGTCATGACATGAGCTGAAACCAAGAGTCAGATAATTAAACGACTGAGCCACCCAGGCGCCTCATCAGTTGTTGGTTAAAAAAATTTTTTTTAAATGTATTTATTGAGTAGTTAATTACTTTACGTAGTTCCATATTCAAAAGGTATAATTAGCAGGGGAAACTATCCCTCTCTAACCCAGCAATTCCATTTTCATTTTAAGGTTGTCAGTTTCTTATATGTCCTTCTAGAGATAATTATTCTTTTTTTTTTTTTTTTTAAGATTTTAGTTATTTATTTGAGAGAGAGCAGAAGTAGGGGGAGCAGGAGAGGAAGAGGGAAAAGCAGGCTCCCAGCTGAGCAGGGAGCCTGACATGGAACTCAATCCCAGGACCCAAGGATCATGACCTGAGCCAAAGGCAGCCGCTTAACCGGTTGAACCACCCAGGCACCCCTAGAAATATTTTAAATAGGTTTATTTATTCCAAGTGCTTTCCATGAATCAACTCATTTAATTATCGTAACGAGCCTGTGAGGTAGATACCCTTATTCTGCCCGTTCCACAGGCGAACCTCCCAAGGTAGAGGGGATTGGTTAGTTGGCTTGCCCAGGATCACAAAGTTACTAAGTGGGATGGCTAGGATTTGAACCAAGATTGTCTACCTCCAGTCTGCGCTCTCAACACGGCACTGTATGTGTTTGGTGCTCTGCTCAGAGGAATGGCAGCGTGTTATACTCACTGTTCTGTCCCTTGCCTTCCACTTCACCATCTACACTGGAGATGTTTCCATATTGGTTCCTCAAGAGCTTCCACATTCTTTGATCTTTGACTTCGTGGCACTCCATTGTATGGATATATCATCGTTTATTTGGCTGGTTCCCTCCTGATGGGCACTTGGGTGGCTCACTGTCTCTCCCTCGATCAAACAATACAGCCGTGAATAGCCTTGTACAAATGTGATTTCACACATATGCAAGTTATATCAATCAATTTGATAAATTCATAGAAGTAGATGGGTCATAGAGTATCCATATTAGCACATTACAGAGTTGTTGCTAAGTTACCCTCTTTGGAGGAGGTAACAATTTGCCTACCCTGCCAGGGTACCTTTGCCAGCAATTACCAAACTCTTTGATCTTGTATCTGATAGGTAAAAAAATTATCTCTTTGTGTAGGTTATTCTGTATTTCTCTATGAATGAGATTGAAAGCTTTTTTGCATATTTAAAAGTTGCTTTATTTCCTTTTTTGTTTGTTATTTATTTGTTTGTTTGTTGCATTGCCCCCCACGGGGTTGTGTGGCTTGTCTTACTGATTTGTAGGTGCTTTTTACATATTAGGCAAATTTAACTCTGTCATATTAGCTGCAAATAGTTTTTCTCCCTTTGTCACTTATGTTTTTGCTTATCACTTTTTTCTCTGTATAGAATCTGTTCCTTTTTCTCTAGTTTTTATGGCTCTTGTTTTTCTGTGATACCTAAAAAGGTCTTCCCAACTCTAAGATAATTTTTTTTACATGATTCCTTCTCACAGCAGTTTGTTTTCCTTGTTTACATTCAAGTCTTTGATCTATTTGGAATTTAACCAGATTCAAGGTATGGAGAAGGATTGAACTTTATTACTTTTTATCTAGATGAGTACTAATTATCTTGATGTCGGTAATCGAATAATGTATTTTTTCATCAGTGGGGATTAGTTGAAAATGTACATGTTAATCATCATAATCATTGCTCCTATTTAATTAGGACTTACTATGTGCCAGGCATGATGCTGAACACTTTATATTTAGTTTTCACAACACCAAGTGAACCGTGCTCTAGAATGATCTTGAATTTATGGCTGATGGAAAATGAGGTTTGGAGAGGTGAGGGCACTTGGCCTTCCTGGAAGTTGTAGGGTTGGGAGTTGAGTCCAGGCTGTGCCTGCATCCAAAGTCTGTGTTTTCAACCCATCTGCTGACCTGCACCCATTGTGCCTGAAACATCCACCCAAGGGAGTGGAATTAGATGATGGAAGTATGAGGCCAAGCTTCAGGAGCTTATGGACCAGACAGAAACACAAAATATGCTCACACAGAGCAAGGAGCAAGGAAAAAAGGGAAGCTGTCCATGTGTCTGGATGTGGGTGCTTTTTATTTTTTAAGCAGGACAGGAATGTGGGGGTGGAGGCATGTAGAATATCACTGGCATGATGGTGGATGAGGATAAGCAGACAGTGAGGCTGGTGTAGTCGAGGAAGTTTTCCTGGATGAAGGGGAATGAATTGGTTCTTAAAGGTGCTTTGGCAGAGACACTAAAGCATGTCTCCGTAGATTCTCTTTTAGGGTCAGGTGTAAGCCAGGCCAGGTGGAGCACCGGGTGGGTCTCGATTGGAGAAGGCTGTAGGTGCCAGGCTAGAGTCTGGACTTTCTTCTGGAGGCACTGGGGAGCCACTGATGGTCCTTGAGCAAGACACCAAAGAGAGTGGAGCCGTATTATCAGGGGATGGAGTGACAGGAGAGATTAGATACATTTTCAGAAGATCTCTGTGCTGCGTTGTGGATATTGGATCACAGTGGGACAGGAGTACATGTGGGAGATCAATTAGGAGTCTGTTGTCATAGTCGAGTGAAGAAGCTGATGGCATCCTGGACTGGGGGGTAGCAGTGAAGACAGAGAGAGGTGAGGTGGGACAGTGCTTCATCACACACACAAGGAAGTGGGCCACCATGAGCAAGTGTCAGCAGACACAATAACCTCCAGATTTGAACCCATGAAGATTTTAGAATTTATACTTATGATATACAGAATTTTAAAAGGAATAAAATATTTAAGTACACTGAAATGTAATCACCAGAAAGGGATGGCGATAATCATAAAATGATACATTAAAAACAGATTTTTAAAAGAACCAAATCAAACTTTTAGAGATAAAAAGTAGTCACTGAAATTGAAAACTGGGAGGCTGAGTTCAACAGCAGATCATTCAGAGCTGAAGAGAGAATTGGTGAACTGGAAAAGAGATCTGAAGAAGTTATTTAGACTTTGGCCCAGAGAATCAAGAAGGAAAATATAAAAGAGACGTTCAGAGACATAAAAAATTACCAAGAAGGTCTAATGTCCTTTTAATTGGAGTCCTGGGAGGAAAGAATAGAAAAAATCGGGGAGAGGAAGGGATAAAAAAAAAAAAAATGTTGACCTGACATTTTCCAGAACTCAAGGAAGGACATGATTCCATAAGTAGAAAAAGCACAAACCACAGTAAGCAGGATTAAAAAAAAAAAACCTTACCTGCCCATGCAGTGAAATTGTGAACATCAAACACATGATCCTTAAAATTAAAGAGAAAAGATAGATCATTGACACAGATCAGTTATCCGGCTGAAATGACTTCCCAATAGCTACAGTGGAATCTAGAAGTCAGTGAGTGAGATCTTCAAAGTGTTGAGAGAAATAGAGAGAGAGGGGAAGGGAGTTGAAATTGACTTGACTGATTCAGGCAGGGAGAACTACCTGGATGGAGGCTCAGAGGTAGGCCTGCCCAATGTTTTTGTGAGGGGGGATGTATTGGGATTAAATAATGGAGGGTTTTGTGTACCAGGGTGAAGAGTGTGATAGTACAGGATTAAGGGAATTAGACTATACTGCCTACATTCAAATCCCAACTCTGCCACTTCCTAGCTGTGGGGTCATGGGCAAAGCCCTTCTTTCACTGTGTCTCATTTTCCTCGTCTGCAAGTGTGGGTAATTACAGCGTCTACATCAGAAGGTGGACATGAGAAGTCCACGATTTAATACATATTTAATGTTAATCGAATTTTTTTTTAAAGATTTATTTATTTGACAGACATAGATCACAAGCAGGCAGAGAGTCAGGCAGAGAGAGGAAGGGAAGCAGGCTCCCCGCTGTGCAGAGAGCCCGATGCGGGGCTCGATCCCAGGACCCTGGGATCATGACCTGAGCCGAAGGCAGCGGCTTTAACCCACTGAGCCACCCAGGCGCCCCTGTTAATCGAATTTTTAAGTTAACACAATGCCAGTGTCTGGTAGGTATTTAATAAATGTTAGCACCTGTGCCCTCCAGGCATTGATAGCTGGATCAACCTGAGCCGTGTGGACCCAGATGCAGAGGTTCAGGGTGAGATCTGCTTGGATGTACAGATACTGGAAGATACACGGGGCCGTTGTCTTCGCTGTCATGTGCTCCAGGCCAGGTATGGTCAGGATGGGGGGACATTGTGGGTTTGGTCTGAGAATGAGCAAGAGTTCACTGGATTCTTCTAGTTGTGTTGGCTTTTGAGACCACCTCTCTCCTGGGGCACTTCTGGGCTCACAACCAGGATCCCTTGCAGGCAAACAGTCCACGTTCACCAGGTTTGCAAGTTCCTGGGGTCAGAGCACAAGCAAAATCTTTGCTGGGTCCCCAGTGACCAGTAGCCAAAGGTCAGACACTCAGGATGGCCAGAAAAAGTGTGGAGGTGTATTAATCAAATTGTAAGTGATAGATACCCAATTTGTACCAGTTTAAGCAGATAGGCTTATATGAATGACATGCAGCTACAGGTATGGCTGGATCCAGGTGCTCAAACAGTGAGATGAGGAATCTATAGACAGATTTCACAGCTTTCTTTTGTGTTAGTTTCAGTCTCAGGCAGTCTCTCTCCAGGTGTGGACAAAGAGGACCCCAGCAGTCTCAGGATGGCATCCTACCAACTTGGTAGGTCCAACTGAAAAAGAAATTTCCTTCATTATTTCCAACTAATGTCCTGGGACTGATTCTTATTGGCCAAATATGGGGCACATACTGATCTTTGAACCAATTACCTGGACTCATGGGTCAGGCCTGAGTCCCACACCCACTCCTGGACTGGAGAGAGGGTTCAGCCTACCTAAGTTATGGGAGCTGGGAGTGTGAGAGAGGGGCAGGTACTGTCCCAAAGAAACAGGAGAAGGAAGATGGATGCAGGACCAGCAAAACCCACAGATGACCCTCCAGGGGCACCAGCTCATGGGATATCCATCTCCTCTCCTGCTTATTTATCACTCTGTAATCCCCTCCTCTCTCCCTCAGCTCCCCCATCATTCTGCTTCCTTAAATACTCCCCTCCCTTCCCTCCCTCATCTCCCATCTTGTCTTTCTGCTTTGTTTTCACACCTTACTCCCCCAAGCCTCACTTTTATACCAGTCCTCACTCAGGTTGTGGAGGATATCTTTTTCTGCTTTGCTGTGTGACCTTAAAGCCTTTTCTTGCCCTCTCTGTGCCTCTCTCACCATCTCCAGATTTCTGTCGCCAGCTGGCACTCCTCGAAGTCTGGATGGAGTACCAGGGTGGCAGAGGACAGGCAGAAGCACTGAGCATGGGACAGGGGGCTCCTCATCTGCTTTGTGCCAGTGGCCTCCTCCCCAGCCACAAGGCTATGCAGGAGCCTTGTAAGCAGGAGAGGGACTGATTGCTGTCGCTTAGCAACTGGGCTGGCTCCTAGGAAACCAAAGAAGGCTTTGGATGCCAAGCAGGGGTGGGAGAGGAACAGCAGGAGGAAGCAAGCAGCCCCTGGTAGGGGGCTGTCACTGGATTTGGGGGACTTCAGGAAGGAGGGATTGGGGAAGCTGTCTGAGGTGAGACTTTCGGGTTGTCATGGCAACCAGAGACAGGGGGTCCATGCCTCAAGCCTTTTCTTGGGTCCTAGGCAGGGTGTGGATGAGTATTTGTTGAATAAGTGAATTAATGAATGAGCGAGCACTCACATCCCACCAGCTGCTATGCAAGCCTTTTATATACGTCATGTCATTTAAGCCTTGGCCCTGTGAGGTTGATCTGTTATTATTTCCATTTTCCAGATGAGGAAACTGAGGCTTGGGGTCATGAAGGGACTTTTCCCAGTGTCACTCAGCCAATGAGTGGTGGACCCAGGCTCTGAACCCTGGCATCTGGTCTTCCCCGGGGGCTCCAGAGAAACCGAGGCTCCCTTCCCACTCCCCACTGTATCTTCACCTCCTGGACTTCGTGATTTAGGACTTGATCTTCTCGTGCCTCAATTTCTTTATCTGGAAGATAGGGGCATACTAGGGCTTCCTCCTAGGGTACCGCTGGTCAACAGGAAGATACTGGGCTTGGATGGGCAGGGTGAAGGGTGCTCCTGGCTGGGTCCCTATAGTGGAGGCCAGAGGTCTTTGAACGGTCTATCCCGAACCCCTTTCCAAGGTCCGGCTTGGGTCTTGGTCGTCAAAGGTCCTATGTCCCTCGATCCTTTCCTCATATGTCTGCAGGGACCTGGCCCCCCGAGATATCACCGGCACATCTGACCCATTCGCACGCGTGTTCTGGGGCAGCCAGAGCTTGGAGACGTCAGTGAGTGGTGGTGTGGATCGGGGGAGGGGTGGGCATGGAGGCGGGCCCTCCTCAGCTCTCCCTCCCTCCCCTTCCCCTAGACCATCAAGAAGACCCGCTTCCCACACTGGAATGAAGTGCTGGAGCTGCGGGAGATGCCGGGAGCCCCAGCCCCGCTGCGGGTGGAGCTCTGGGACTGGGACATGGTGGGCAAGAATGACTTCTTGGGTATGGTGAGCGCCCCTTCCCCTGACACTCTCCATGGCTCCCCACTGCCTCCAAGAGGGAAGGGGAGGGGAGATGGGCTGTGCATCCTGGGATCTGGAAGGATAGATGTGAAAGCTGTCTCAGCTGGCTGCTTGGCCAGACCTGAGTGATGCAGGCCCATTGCCCCGTTGTATAGGTGAGGAGACAGAGGCTCTCCAAGGGGCAGGAACCTATCCAAGGTCACAGGGTGGGCCCAGATTCTCACTGGGGTGAGAGGACTCAGTATGACCATGTGCTTAGTGCTTTGCTAGCATAATCTCGCTCACGTACCCTTCATGGCCACTCTGTGAGGCTGGGACTGTCGTCTGCATTTTATAGATGGGGAAACCGAGTTTCATTCAGAGAAGCTGAGCGGCTTTCCCAAGGTTGTATGACCAAGAAAGGGCAGAGCCAGAATCTGAGTTCAGGTTTCTCTGACTCCAGAATCCCAGCCCTTAACCCCTCTCCCTGGAAGCACCAGGCTCAAGATCTGTCTCTTGGAACCTCAGTTTACACATCTGTAAAATGGGTGTGACTGCCCTGCCCCTCAGTGGGAATGGATGTATAGTCAGGACTGACAGTTTTTATAAAAGGAGGCAAGATTAGAGCAAGTTATGGGTTGGCTTGGTTATGCACAGCCAGCGGGGAAGGGAGCAGAGGAGTAAATGGAGTAGCCACTTTGGGAAACAGTCTGGCCATTCCTCAAACGGTTTAAGACCGTCCCCACATGCCCTGGCGACTCCACTCCTGGCCATGCACCAAAGATCAATGAAAACACATGTCCACCCAGAAGCTCATACATGAAGGTGTTCACAGCAGCGTTGTTTGTGATAGCCAAGAATGGAAACAACCCAAATGTCCCTCCATGGTCCAATGGGTAGATACAATGTGGCTGGTTCTTACAACGGAATATTACTCACCCATGAAATGGAATGAGGTCGTGGCACCCGCTACAATGAGGATGAATCCTGGAAACATGGTTTCGTTTAGATGAGATGTCTGGAGTAGGTGACTGTGTAATGACAGAAAGTAGGTCAGTGGTGGCCTGGAGCTGGCGGCGGGGGTGGGAGACGGGGACTGACAGCCAATGAGCGCAGGTGTTTGGGGAGCAGACGGAAAATGTTCTGAAGTTAGTGGTGACGGTTGCGCAGCTCTGTGAGTAGACCAAAAACCATTGAACTACACACTTTAAAGACGTGAATTGTATGGGATGCAAATTACATCTTTATGAAGTTATTTTAGAAGAGAGGCAGTGGGGTTCAGGGCCCTTTGGGACTATCTTTAAGCTTTCGGACAGGTGCAATGTGTGTCCCCAGAAAGAGCTGAAAATGTTCTCAGTCTAGATATTTGGTCTCTAGCAGCTGTGTGACCTCGGACAAGTCATTCCGTCTCTCCAAGCCTCAGTTTCCCCAAGTGTAAATTGAGTGTTGGCTGCAGGCCCTCGGTGTCCGGGCAGGAGTTAATAATTTGGGGCTGGGGGAGGGAGTGTAGCTACGGCTGCATCGATGGGGGTATGGTAGTGGAGAGGAGGTGGCCCCTGGCAGGTGAGCAGTCAGCTCTTCTAGGCCTGGGTGGGGCCTTAGGCCTGGCAAAGTCCGGTTCAGCTGAGAGTCTACGTGTCCTCCCGCAGGTGGAATTCCCCCCACGGGTCCTGCAGCAGAATGCCCCCAGTGGCTGGTTCCGTCTCCTGCCCTTTCCCAGAGCCGAGGAGGATTCTGGGTAAATGTGGGTGCGGAGGGAGGCGGCTGGGCTGAAGTCAGGGTGACTGCCATCTTCAGCTTGTGGGCAGGTCATGCGGGGTGCCCATGTCAGCCCCCAAGCTGTCACTGTGTCACTCCGTTCCCTTATTTAACACACGTCTTACAATATGTGTGTACTTATGTCCAAAGGAGTTGACCTTGTACCCACCCACCTGTTTGCACATGAGCATATCAGCTAACAGTAGTTGATGCGTGTTCCGAACCCTGGGTCCTTCCGTGCCTGTGCACACCTGTTCACGCTGGCCTTACAGTGGCCACACTGCTTACATCGACTTTACCTGTCCATTCCTGTGTGTCCCTTTCAACATCTGTTCACCTGTCCACACTTGCCTGCATCAGGCTACACTGTCCACACCTGCCCCCACTGTCCGTTCACAGTGTACACGTTTTTCGACGCCAGCCACGTCCTTCCACGCCCGTCCTATGTGTTGACACTGTCTGAGCTCATCTGTTCTGTGTATCCCCGTCAGTATTGGTTCCCACCTGCCCACACTGGCCATGCCTGTTCCCGCCTGCCCACAGCTGTCCCCATCTGCCTTGTTTTGCTAACATCCATGCTCCTTATCTGTGTTTGCACCTGCCTCTCTCGGCCATCCGCACCTGCCTGTACATACTCACTGTTCCCTCACCTGCGACCTGACCCTGGCCAGGGGAACCCTGGGCGCGCTGCGGCTGAAGGTGCGCCTCATCGAAGACTGCGTCCTCCCTTCCCGGTACTACCAGCCGCTCACGGAGCTGCTCGTGGCCTCTGTGCTGGGCCCGGCAGAGGTGGGTACATCCATTCCACTGGGGATCCAGATGATAGCCCCCTCCCGGGGTTCTTCTGCTGTGGGGTCGCAGAGCCCTGGGCCACCTCTCCTGCCTCCTGTCCTTGCCCAGGAGGATGCTGCCAGTCCCCTGGCCCTGCTGGAGGAGCTGACCTTGGGGGACTGCCGCCAGGACCTTGCCACCAAGCTGGTGAAGCTCTTTCTTGGCCAAGGCCTGGCCGGGCCCTTTCTGGACTATCTCACCCGGCGTGAGGTGGCCCGGACCAGTGAGTTGCCCGCATGAGCCCCAGACATCACACCCCAGGGATGGGTCTGCGTGGGTCTCTTGGGGAGAAACGGGGGCTTCAGGCAGAGGTCAGGGGCTCCTATATGTGTGGGTAGGGGGCCCCTATGTCTTACACCAGCAGCCCTCTGGGGATACAGTCTTGGATTCAGGCGCTGGCTTTGCTACTCTTGAGCTGTGTGACCTTAGGCCGCTCATTGAACCTCTCTGGGCCCCTGGACCATGAATGGCGTTGATGCTGCAGCTGTACCTGATTCCTGAGGCTGGAAGAAGCACGACTCCCACCTTGGGTGGGTGGGGTGAGGTGGATCCGGCCCCAAACCCCAGCAAACACTTCCCTCTGTCCTCCCAGCTGACCCCAACACCCTCTTCCGTTCTAACTCCCTGGCATCCAAGGCAATGGAACAGTTTATGAAGGTGAGCAGGCGACGCCCGGGGCCCAGCTGCAGCTTTTTCTCCTTTTCTGTGCTTCTTGGGACCCCAGAGCTTGGCCGGCCTCGGTTGGCTCAGGGTGGCAGAGCCGGGCGGCTGGCGGCTGATGCCTGGCCTCACCCTGAGATTCACCTGGATAGCGTCCCCCGCTCCCGCTCTTGGGCACGCCTCGGCCTTGCTCTGAGCCTCTCCCTGCACGGTTCCCCCGTCCCAGCTGCTGGGCACGCCCAGCCTCACGCTCAGCCCCATCCCATGCGGTGCCTCCTGCCCCCAGCTCGTGGGCACGCCTGATCTCACGCTCGCCCCCATCCCACGTGGTCGCCCTGCCCCCAGCTCGTGGGCATGCCTGATCTCACGCTCGCCCCCATCCCACGTGGTCGCCCTGCCCCCAGCTCGTGGGCATGCCTTACCTGCACGAGGTCCTGAAGCCGGTGATTCACCGCGTCTTCGAGGAAAAGAAGTACATGGAGCTGGACCCGTGCAAGATGGACCTGGGCCGCTCCAGGTGAGCAACGCCTCAGGGGCACACCCAACCCCCCGGCAGCCCCCTGGTCTGTCCAGAGCCTGGCCAGGCTGGCTCTGTGCCAATGCCCCCCCGCCCCGGTGCAGTGGCTCAGGAGCTCCGTGTTCCAGCAGAAAGCCTCACTGGGAGCACAGCGATCCTCGGGCTGTGTCGTGTATGGGGATGGGCAGGGCTCTGAAACTGAGCTCCTGGGTTCGAATCCCAACTCTGAGGTGGGCAAGACAGACCCTACACCTGTGCGGGAACAAGAAAGAAGGGACTAGAACATAACTGGTAGAAGAGTGTCATTCCAGCATCCACTCAACAAGACAATGGTTGAGAACCTATTGTTCAGACACTGGCTGAACTGAGTCCAGAGCAGGGAATATGTGGATGCAAATCCGCCTTCCAGGGGGAGGTAGCCAGCCAGCTAAAGAAGGTTACTGAAGGTCGTCAGGGGAATGGAGGGAGCTAGAGCACGGAAGGGTTGTGGGAAGTGCCAGGAACAGAGCAGGGACTTGCAGAGTTTCAAAGGGTGGCCAGAGGGACAGTCTCATGGATCAGGGGACCTCTCAGCAGAGACTTGAAGGAGAGGAGGGAGGGAGGCATGCACATCTGGTGGAAGAGTATCCCAGGCAGGGGGAAGAGCATGTGCAAAGGCCCTGAGGTGGAAGTGTGTGTCTGGCATGTCCCTGCTGACATGTCCCGTGATGATGTGTGATGGGGAAGGGATGGCCCCTTAGAGGAGGGGACATTTAAGCTGAACGTGGGTGCCAGGGTGTCTCAGGCTGAGGGAACAGCGTGGACAAGTATCCATGACAGGAGTGAGCTCAACGTGTTTGAGAAGCAGCCAGAAGCCTGGTGGGAATGGTAGGAGGGGAGGTTGGGAAGGTGGGTGCTCTCAGCTCAGTGGGAGCTGGTGGAGGGTTTTGAGCAGAGAGATGCTGGGCTCGGAGGCACAGCCACTCTGTTTCCCCAGGAGAATCTCCTTCAAGGGCGCACCCTCGGAGGAGCACGTGCGGGATGCCAGCCTGGGGCTGCTGACGGGCTACCTGGGGCCCATCGTGGACGCCATCGTGGGCTCTGTGGAGCGCTGTCCGCCTGCCATGCGCCTTGCCTTCAAGCAGCTGCACCAATGCGTGAAGGAGCGCTTCCCCCAGGCGGAGCATGAGGTGGGCCACGCGTCCCCATGGAGCAGATGGGGAGAATGAGGCTGGGGAGGGGCGGTAGCTTGTCCAGGGTCACACAGGGAGGCGGGCGGGGCAGAAGACAGAACCTGGGCTGCTCACGCTCAAGTATGTGTCCTGTCGGAAGTGGGGACAGGATTCCTGGCAGGGTCTGGGATCCAGGGGTGGTGGTAAGAGTAGTGACAGTAGCTCCTGCTCTATATAGCCCTCACCAGGGGTCAGACCTACTTGTACGTGTTCCTTGCCTTGTTATAGCCACCCGATGGGACGGGCACCGATATTCTTCCATTTCCCAGAGTAGGAAGCAGAGGCCCAGAGAGATCGAGTCCCGTGGTGCTGGGATTGGCACGTGTCTAGGCAGGCTGGCACAAAGTGAGTGCGTCTTAAATTCAGCTCTCAGAAAGAGAAAGAGAGTGCGAGCGAGAGGGAGTGAGAGCACCGGAGAGCGAGTGAGCCCGCTGATAGGGCTCAGGTAGGTGCTCTGTAGCAGACATCCCAAATAGCCCCAGATAAACCCCCACATGTGCTAGTGCTCTGTCACTGTTGACTTAAGAGTTGGGACCCCAGGGACTGCCTCGGGCAGGTGAGCTGAATGAAGGCAGAAGGCCAGTGTGGGGCAGCAGGGAGTGGTAGGGACTGCGGCAAGCTGGTGCTCCCATGGCTGGTCTTAAGGGGGCCGCTCTGGACGGTCAGTCATTGCCACATAGGAATGGGGACCCAGTATTGCCAGATCGTGAGAGTTCCTTTTCTAAAGGGAGCCTTCTGGATTTTATGTGAGGTCTCTCATTTTTTTTAAATGTCGGCACTAATTCGCCTAACGACAACAACAACAACAACAACAACACAACAACACTTTGAGCCAGCTGTTACACGTTTGCAGCCGGACCGGTCCATGGGTTACCCGGTGGGACCTCCCTGGTGTAATGGTCAGCATCCCTTCCACGTAGCTGTTTTTGTCCTGCCTTACAAATGGTGTCACATCAGGCTAACTCTTACATAGTGCTGATGTCTTAGAAACGCGGACTAGGGGTTCACTTTGCAGAAAAATCTGAGACCTGCTCAGTGTTGGAGACGTAACGGCCCAGTCCCTAGAGATCGAGTTAAGAGCCCTTGATTACGCCACACTTCTCTCCATGTTCTGTTTACAGGTGGGGAAACTGAGGCCCAGAGAGGTAAAGAGCCTTGGCCAAAGATTGTGGACTCAAAGCGAGGCCTCTGGTCTCCCAGCAGGGGTCTCTCCCTTCTCCCCTCAGCCCCTGCTGAGGAGTGAGCTCTGGGCCTCCAAACTGGGACCTCGCTGGCTTTATGCCCCACTTTGCCAGGCTCTCGCCTGGGCTGCAGGTGCTAAGTGGGACACAGTGTGGCAGGGAGGAGGGAAGGGAAGAGGGGAGGCCAGCTCCCTAGACAGCCTGGCCCTTGTGAGGGACCCAGTGTGACTCCCGAGTGTCCTCCAGCCCTCAGTTCCCACGGTGGGCAGAGGCCGTGGGCAGGGAGCAGGGACTTTCTCAAGCCCAAGAGGGTGAATGGGGTCACAGAAACCCAGGGGAACTCCTTTCTCTGCCGCTCTGACACCTGTTCCTCCTCAAGAAAGGAAGTCAGAGCTGATGTCAAAGACTAAAATTACCCTGGAATACGGCAGATGGGAGGGGGGTGGTGGCCTTGGGGGCAGCTCAGGTCCCAGATGAGGGCGGGGCTGGGGGGCAGAGACCCACCTCCTGAGCAGCGTTAGGAACCCGGCTGTCGCCAGGGCTCACTGTCAGCACGGAGGTGCCGTAGGAAGTTGGCCACGTACCCAGGGAGGTTATTGTCTCGAGTGTGAATACGGCCCCTAAATAAATACTGGAGCACATTCTCGGGCTAAATATAGCCAGGCAAGTGTGAAAGGTAGGTGGGGAGTGATCTGGGGAGAGCCAGATGCACCCAGGATAAAGGCACACCCTCTCTCTGAGCTGCCTCTGCCTGCGCTGGGGGTGGGCCAGGCCCGGGACTCACCTGCAGGTGGGCCGGGCCTGGGACTCACACAGAGGGGCACCGCCCTTTACAGTTTGTAGGAGGCAGAGCCTGGGGTGGGGGGCGCACCCAGGACAGGCTCAGGAGCCAGCCGGGCTGGGTTCACTCTTGAGCCTGTGTCCTCGTCCAGAAAACGGGGACAAGAGTACCTATTCCACGGGATGGTTAGTGGTTCAGATGAGCTCCTGACAACTCAGCAAGCAGTGTGCAGGGTCGGATGCAGGAGAGTGTGATGAAGAGCCAAGGGCTCCGGTCCTGCCTGGGTTCAAGTCTTAGCTCTGCCATTTACAGCTGTGTGGCCTTGGGCAGGTGACCTCTCTCTGGGCTTCAGTTGTCTTCCCTGTAAAATGGAGATAGAATCCCTCCCAGGGTGAGTATGAAATAAATGTGTGGCCAGTTATCTGGCATGGTGCTATTAATAAAATAAATCATAGGTCGGGAGATCGAGTTCTGCCTCCTCCACTCATCTGCTGTGTGACCTTGGGCCAGTCACTTGGCATTTTTGAATTTCTGCTTCGTCCTCTGTAAAAGGGGAATAATGATGCTGCTTCCTTTCTAGGTCTGTGCCCTTAGCATGGTGCTTGGCACAAAGCAGATTCTGAGGATGTTGGGCTAAAGCTGATCATGCAGGATTGGTATTGTTACTCTATTTTCCAGGTGGAGAAACTGAGGTCCAGAGAGAAAAAGCCATCTTGGCAGACCAGTATGGTCTTCTGGCCCATCTCCCATCCCGCTTCCCCTTGCACCACCGATCTGTAGTCCTTCCTGCCTCAGTTTCCCTGTCTGGGAAATGGGTCCTTGGGGGCTCTTCTCACCTGCTGCTCCTCTCGGCAGGATGTGAAGTACCTGGCCATAAGCGGCTTTCTCTTCCTGCGGTTCTTTGCTCCTGCCATCCTCACCCCAAAGCTGTTTGACCTCCGGGACCAGCATGCAGATCCCCAGACCAGCCGCTCACTGCTACTGCTTGCCAAGGTGCCAAAACTGGAGTCCCACAGCTTGGGTGTTCTTAGCCAGGGAAAAGCACAGGAACAGAGCTGGAAGGCCAAACCGACAGAAGACCCAAATGACACCCAGAGAAATCCATCTCAAACACCTATTAGCCTTCCATCCTGAATGTGAAGGCATTCGTTCATATGTTCTCCAATTTTGTCTCTTAAAATGAAAACCCTACCCTTCCAGGAGGAAAGTGGGAAGTGGGCTGGTAGTCACTTACACCTTAGTATGAATTAGACCATTCTTTGCAAAGTGGCCATATTTTGAGGTTCTGATGGGCTCCGAAGTATGCATGATAGGATAGGGCATTCCTTAGTAGGGGAATCGAGCTCTGGAGGGAACAGAATAAGGGCACTGGGGGTGCATATCTGTCCACAGGGAGGGGTAGATATTGTTCGAAGCAGGTGCTGCTATGAGTCTTCCCCTTTCATTGAGCACTGATTTGAGAGTCAGGACTCAGGGGCTCTGCTCTGGGTCTGTAGGCAGCCCTTCCCCCAGCAGTGACCTTCCCCCAGCGACCTTCGCCCTGGCATCCCTTGCTTCTTTACTCCAGGCTGTGCAGAGCATCGGAAACTTAGGCCAGCAGCTGGGCCAGGGCAAGGAGCTATGGATGGCGCCCCTCCACCCCTTCCTGCTACAGAGTATCTCACGTGTGAGACACTTCCTGGACCAGCTGGTGGATGTGGATGGGGAGGAGGGTGAGTCCCTGCATTCCTGCCACATCTGGCTTGTCACTCTGTGGACCCTTGGGACCTGCCCTTCCCCCTCCCACAACCCCACCCCAGTACTGAGACTGTGGACTTGTGGGTCAGCTAGTCAGTCAACGAACATTTCCTGGCCCCTCCTGTGCTAAGTCCCAGAGATGAACAGAGCTCAGGCCCTGTCCTCCAGGCTATCCCAGCCAATGTGGAGATGTGTGTGGGTGCTGTCGCATGGTGCGCACACAATAAAAAAATATCTCTTAAGTGCTTACTAGACACTGTTCCAGGTGCTGGGGAAATAGCAGTGGACAAGACAGGAGAAACCCTTATAGGTTTCTTATTCTAGCAGGGACCATGGGCTAAAAGCAAGAGGAGTTAGCAAATAGTACAGTATGTTCGGAAGTGATTGTGTAGGGAGAAAAAATAACAGAGGGAAGAGAATGTTGGGGTGGGGGTGGCAGGTTGAGATTTTAGGTGGGGTGGCCAGAAATGGCCTCATTAGGGTGCTATCAGAGCAAAGCCCCAAGGAGGACAGAGAACATGCCATGAACATCCCAGGGAAAACTATTCCAGGCTGGGAACAGTATGTGCAAAGGTCCCGAGGTGGTGAACAGGGAACCACAGGGAGGAGCCAATGTAGAAGAGGGAATGAGAGGGCACAAAGGAGAGGTGGGGGCCAGACTGTGTGGGGGCTTCATAGGCAGCTGGGCTTTGATGGGGAGTGAAATGGAGCCTGGGACAGTTTTTTAAGCAGAAGAGTTGGGGCTAAGTCTGTATCACAGTATAGGGCCCAGTGCACTATATAGTTGGGTCCAAGTCACATAAGAGGAACCTGTCGGAATGTGGAGCCCTGGTTGTGGCATGGCAGGGTCCCTGAGGCATTGGGGAGGATCACCCCCCACGGAAGCGGGGCTAGATCCCATGTACTCACTGGACTGACTTCATGAGGCATGCCCCCTCTGCTGACTGCCTGCACCACTGCCTACAGAGCTTCAGGAGAGGGACGCCTACTTGCCTACTTTGTGCTGCTCCCGGCCCCACCTTCCATGATGCGTTCTCTGAGAGCAGGAGCCGTCCGCAGCAGTCCTGTTGTTCACCCTCCTGCCTCTAGGGGGCAGAGTCATGCTTCACCATAGAGGCACCTGGGCACGCGGGCAGGGCAGGTTGAGCCTGGATATGAGGGTTTCATTGTCCCTTCCCCCCCCCCTCCATTTCCCAGAGGCTGGGGGCCCAGCCAGGGCCCTGGTGGCCCCCTCGGTGATCGTCCGTGAAGGTTACCTGCTGAAGCGCAAGGAGGAGCCCGCCAGCCTGACCACCCGCTTCGCCTTCAAGAAGCGGTACTTCTGGCTCAGCGGGGAGGCGCTCTCCTACTCCAAGAGTCCTGAGTGGCAGGTGGGGCTCTAGCCCACAGCCAGGGCGGGGAGCAGGAGGGAAGGCGGGGGCGGGGGCGGGGGGAGGCGGTTTCCAGCAGCGTCCTCCCTCCCTGAGCTGCCTCTCTGTAAGCAGGGGGGAGCTGAGGTCCGGGAGGGGCCAAGGTAACAAGTCCAAAGTCTAGGCCAGGCTCTGGTCACACCTTTTGGGCCAGTGTGGGCACAGTACAGACGTCTTTTGGCTGGTGCTATCCTGCTCACGTAAAATTGGATCTGCTCTCCCAGAGGTCCCCGCCTGGATGTCTAGGTGTACACACACACACACACACACACACACACACGGCCATTTGTTTACTCAGTCATTCGTCAAACAATGATTGAATGCCTCCTGCATACCATGCAGTGTTCTAGGCGCTGGACATATAGCAGTAAACAAGGCACAGGATCCCTGTTCTCGTAGGGTTGCCACTGAAATGCAGCAGAACTCAGGCACCTGCTGGTGTGCGTGCATTTCTGTGCCTGCACGTTGGTGCATGATAGCTAACCCCAGGCAGGGCGTGCTTGCTCATTATTCCCACTTTGTCAGCAAAGCATAGAGTCTAGAGTTCTAATCCCTGGTTTCCAACTCTGGCTCTACTAGCTGAGTGACCTCAGAAGGATCATGGGTCCTCCTGGGCCTCAGTTTCCTCCTCGGCACACAGACCCAGCCTCAGAAGTTGGTGTAAGTTGGTAATTGCGGAGTGCTGGAAAGCACATTCCGTCTGCCATGTCTGCCATGTGGTTGCTGGGCTGACCGGTGGATGGCGGTGATGGACACTGGTGCCCTGGGGAGTTGGTGCTTCCTTAGATGGGGCAGGACTGGGGGACTCAGTGCTCGAGACAGGGGTCATGAGCCCAGATTACAGACACACCCCCGGGGAACATCCCCAAAGGAAAGCTGTCCCTGGGCCCCACCACGCTGGCCCCCAGCCCACCCTGCAGCGACAGACCTGTCTCCCAGATGCGCTCCTCCATCCCGGTGTCGCACATCCGTGCTGTGGAGCGCGTGGACGAGGGCGCCTTCCAGCTGCCACACGTGATGCAGGTGTTAACGCAGGACGCTGAGGGCGTGCTGCACACCACTTACTTCCAGTGCAAGGTAAGGCACCGCAAGGATAGGGAGGAGGGCATCCCTTAGGTTCCGCACCCCTGACATCCCCCGCATCCCGCCCCCCACCCCGGCTTCCCGCAGAATGTGAATGAGCTCAACCAGTGGCTGTCAGCCCTGCGCAAGGCCAGCGCCCCCAACCCGGACAAGCTGGCCTCCTGCCACCCTGGTGCCTTCCGCGGCTCGCGTTGGACCTGCTGCCTCCAGGCTGAGCGCTCAGGTGAAGGGCAGGGTGGGCTCGGGTTCGGCCCTCCCTACCTGTCAATCAGCGGATGCCCCACCTCCTCTGGCCGCTGAGCAACCTGGGGCAAGTTATTTAACCTCGTTATGCCTCAGTCTCCTGAAGCGTGGAATGGGGTTGATGACAGTCCCTGCTTCCTAGGGTTGTGAGGAGTGAGTGAGTTGATAGACACAAAGCACACAGAACGCTGTCGAGCACGTAGTGCTCAGTACATATGAGGTCTTATTTTTTTAAGCACTTACTATGTGCTAAGCATCTAGTGGAACACAGACATCAGGCATGCTCTAGAGGAAGACAAGTGAATAACCAGACAATTGTAATACAGTCTTCTAAGTACCAAGATGAGGCTTTTGAGATGCCAGAGAATGCCTCTGATCCAGCCTCAGAGTAGGAGATCAAGGAGGGCTTCCTGGAGGAGGTGCTGTTTCGATGTCACCTGAGAAGATTAGGCGTTAAGCAACAAAGTTGGAGACAGGGATGGGGTAAGGAAGTGTAGTCAGAGCAAAGAGCATGAGCAAAGGCCCGGAGGTGGCTGAGGGAGGGCTGAAAGATTGCAAAGGGTCTGAGTGGCTGGAGCCCGGACTGTGGGAGGAGGCTAGAAGGAGGTGAGGCTACCGCTATGCTGGGCGGGAGTGGAGACAGTGGGGTGTGATGGAAGTAGTAGGTCGGAAGAGTGAGTTTAGAAGCAGAAGGGTCGGGGCTTGGGGACCATCAGCAGTGGGGGCTTCTGGAGGGGGTGATGGGAGGCGGTCCTGATGGTGCCGTGTCCCCCTCAGCTGCTGGTTGCAGCCGCACACACTCGGCCGTCACCCTGGGGGACTGGAGCGACCCGCTGGATCCTGACGCTGAGATCCAGATGGTGTACCGGCAGCTGCTCCTGGGGCGGGACCAGCTCAGGTGGGTGCCCCTGCCCAGCCTCCTCCCTCCCACCCCGCAATGGCCAGCCGGGCCAGCTGCCCAGCATGGCCCCCCACGTCCATTTATTCATTCTTTCCATCCGCTTCAGCTGAGCTTCCCGGTGCATGGTGTGCAGGTTCAAGGGGAGGACGGGGAGACATCCTCAGGCAGGCCCCAGTGCAGAAGTGGGTCTTGGATCTTTTCATATCCGGGTCCCTGGGGACACGGGCACAGACCTTGGATGTGTTCCTTTTCCTTCCTGGTGGGCTTCAGTGCTACCCAGTGACCGATTTGTTCCAGCTCCTTCTAGAGTGGGTTCTGAAGCTGGCCTGTCTGGTTTCAAATTCTGGGCTAGCCATTCACTGGCTGTGTGATCTCGGGCACATTGCTTACCCTCTCTGTACCTCTGTTTCCTCATATGGAAAAGAGGGATAATAATAGTACCTTCCTCCTGGAGTTGTCCTGAGGGGTCAAACGAGCTAATGCAGGTAAGGCATTTTGTAGATGCCCAGTCACAGCATAGACAGCAAGTTATTATGCTGTGCAACCTTAGGCAAGTTACTTTACCTCTCTCTGTCTCAGTGGACTGTATAATGGAGGCAATAGTAAGTCCTTATCTTGGATACATCTTTTGTGGCACTTAAATGAGTTAATACATGGGAATGGCTTATAACAGTGTCTGGTACTCTGTAAGTATTTGCTGTGATAATGGTGGTGGTGATGGTGACAGGTGGGAACCTGTCATGTCTCCTGCAATCAGCTGAGAATCTCCGGAGTGGAGAACAAGATCGGGAGTCAGGGACCAACCCTGTCTTTCTCCCTTTCAACTTCCAGGATGAAATTCCAGGAGGATCCCAACATAGATTCCAGTCCAGAGGCAGACGCAGAGAAGGGCTCCAGGGCCACGGAAGGTGAGCGGCTAAGGAGGTCCCATTTCTTTGCCATCTCTGCCACCTGCCATAACTTGCCAAACACACGACTATGTCCTTCCCCACTCCCCTCCCCTTCGCAGTTCACCAGCAAGTGTGGTGAATGGGGGGATGGAGTGTGTGGGATTTCAGGGCATAGGGCCAACCTGGAGCCTGAGAAAGCCACTGGGTCTGGGTTATGGCAGCCTGCCTAGTCCTGGCTGAGCCCCCGTGGCTCCTTGTCTCCCTCGCAGGGGTCTGTCCCGATGTCCTGGCCCAGCACAGAGAGGCAGCTGCCCACCTGCTGGAGGTGCTCGAAGATCTGGACAGAGCCCATGAAGAGTTCCAGCAGCGGGAGCAGCAAAGGGCAGCCCTGAGCCCCCTCAGGCACTGAGAAAAGGCCAGAACCAGCCTGGAAGGGGAAGGAAGGCGCCAGAGGACCCCCTCTCAGAGCACCCTGGCATCTTGAGGCTGTCCTATTCCTTGTTGATGCTGCAGGGTGCAGTCTTCTGGAGATCTCCTAGTCTCTGTGCCCAAAGTGCAAAACCCTGGGGAACGGAAGCCCTGTGGCATGCGGCTGGCCTTTGTACCGAATGACTTTCAGTCTCTGGGCGAGGCAGATGGGAGTGGATGGGATAAGGAGCCTGACTCATTCGGCTCAGTGGAAGGTCTCTGCTAAACCAGACTGGCTCCTGCCCACACCAACCGGGCCCACCTGGTCCTGAGCTGCTGGATACAGCTGTCTGTGAATCCCCGACACCCACGTGGCCTTGTTGCCCCAGACAGGCACTAAAGAGGCTCAGCCCTTCCTGTTTTCATGTCTGCCAATCCGTGTAACCTCACTGATCCTCCTGAACCCTGCCTTGGCCGAGAGTCCTAACCGCAATCTTCCAGAATCTGGTTCCCTCGGGAATAATGGAGGCTTGGAGCTCAGCGTGCCAGACTCAGACCTTTGGAGCCTGGGAGGCTTGGCCTAGGTTCTGACCCCCTCTTTGAGCCTCGGTTCATGCTGTATAAAATGAGGGAGTGTCTAGATGTGTGGTTGTCAAACTGGGTTCCGTGGAACTGGTTTGGGAGCTAGGGAGGTGTTTCTTACACTGTTGTGGTCCAAAACTCACCCCCTAGGTTGTCTGCTAGAAATGCAGATTCTCGGCCCCCACCCAGATTTACTGAATCAGAATCTGAAGGACTGTGGGCACATGGACCAGGATTTTTAACAAGTTCCCCCGGTGATATGGTCGAACACAGGATTTGATGATCACGAGGCTGGGCAATTTTGTATAGTGGGGTTTGAGGTGAGATTTTGTTTGAGAATGAATCATAGAGGGTAATATATTTGGGAACACCCAACTGGCAGAACTGGAAGGGCCTCCAAGGACTCGTTTCTGGTTTTTGTGTGACTAGAGGGTGGGACAGAAACCAAAGCGTATCTGGAGATTAGGGGGACCCAGGAAGATGCAGCGCTATCCCGAGCGTGGCCAGCAGGGGTCGCCTGGAGCCGCAGAATCTGCCTCCGCCACCCAGCATCCTGGGATGCTGCCTTGCTGATAGGAAGCTTGTTGCAGATCCTGGGATTTGTCCCTAGTCAGAACCGACCCCTCCTTTCTTAGGGCAGGGGCTGGGGATCGAGGGGCCAGTCACGGTGTCTCCCAGCTCGTCCATGTTTTTCCGAAAACTCTCAGCTCCCAGCCCAAGTCCCTCATTCCCAGTACTGTTGGGGGGGGGGTCCCCTCATTCCCAGTACTCTACTAGGGAGCAGCTGTGTGCATTGCCTTGGGCCGTGCCTGAGAACAGCACCTTCAGGCCCGCCTCTTGGGGTCTAGGGCTGGGAGGGCCTGCCTCTGTCACCCTCACACTCCCTGTGTGCCCTAAGACTATAGAATTATGGGGACCCTCCATCTCCAGCTGCCCAAGGCTGAGAGGGCCAATGGTCCTGGGGCCATCATTTTGTAGCAAACTCCCCGATGGGGTGGGCCATAGGCCCCCCACCCCCGCCCCAGGGACAGAGCCATCCACCCCACTCCACCCCTCCGCAGGAAAAGACTGAGTGAGGAGGAGAAAGACCATTTATTTCTCCACCCACAGTGGGACTGGTAGGTTTTCAAAAGAGCAATCGCTGGCGTCCCTTTAAATCTTGGCTGACTTCCGCCGTGGCAGCCAATCAACAGAGGCGGAGCTGGTGAGTTGCCTGGGCAACAGGCCCCTGGTTGGCCAAGACCATCAGCCACCCCACTGCCCACTCCCAAGGAAAGCAAAATGGACTCTTTGCTGCCCGGTCTGCTTTTTAGACCTGCTGGCCTAAGCTAGGCCTCCTTGTCTTGCTCCTGAAGCCAGAAGCTCCAGCCTTTGGATCTTGACATTTGGGAGCATTTGGTGGAGAGGATGGAGTGGGGAGGAAAGGAGAACAGTGCCTTATCTGGGACAGACATAAGGCCTGGGGATGGGAGGGGAGAAGAAGGACGTCAGAGTCCCAGAAGGATGGAGACACCAGCACAGAATAAGATCCCTCTGGCCCTCTCTCGAGGGGGGGCCCTTCTCTCTGGCCTGCCCCTTTGCAAACCTGCTGACTAAGCTGGGGCTTCTACCCCATGGGCCCACAACTGCCCATCAGTGGGTGGTAGAGATGGGTGACAGAGATGGGGGGGGCGGTGAGAGGCTGAGCTTCCCAAGGGCCCCTTACCCCTTGGAGCCCCAGCAGGCCCCCGGGGTGCTTGACCTGAATCCTGCCTGTGGACAAGCCTGTACTGATGTGATAGAGACACAGATGGGAATCCATATGGAGTATCACAGGGGTCTTCTGTCTCTTTCCCCCCAGTCTGGGGGTAAGTAGAGGCACGTGGGTGTGCGTGCATGTGTTCAACAGGACACGTGTTTGCGTGAGGGGGTGGGGCTCTGTCTTTTTGGTAGGGAGGTTGCTGTGGTTCCTGGTACTCTCTCCGCCACCCTCTCGGGGAGCTACAAGTCGGAGCCGGCTGGCCTGCCATCCTCCCAGCATATTCCAACTACCTCCAGCCACATCTCCAGAATGCTTCTGGCTCCTTCCGCAGGCTCCTCCCCAGCCCTGAACCTGGGCCGCCAGGACACACCTGGTTGAGGGAGGCAAGTGCCGGACCAGGGGGCCAAGCAGGAGGGAAGGTGGGCAGCCTCGGGCTTCAGGCCTTGGCCGCAGCCTCGGACACGCCCTGGGCTGTGAGCTCCGCCAGCACGTTGTCTAGGTAGCTAGCGTCTGGGTAGCCGTGGCCTGTGAGGTTGGACCCAAACTCGGTCTTGTGGTGGATCTCATTCCACACCACGGTGTCCGACTCGCCCGTGGTGTTGGATGTGCCGATGGTGAAGATGAGTCTCCGCTCCCAGGCCGTGATAAGCAGCCTGAGCACCTGGTGGGCAGATACCGGGGCAGGTGTGGGTGTGAGGGGAGGGCCCCCGCAGCCCCACCCTGTGGCTGGAGCCCCCATCCCCTGCCCCCTAGTCCAGCCTCCCTCCCTCCCTGGCCACTCTGTGGCTCCGTTAGTGCCTTCTAAGCCCTGCAGCCTTCCCAGTGGCCACCCAGCCTGGCCGTGTCCCTAGATGGGGTCCCAGTAAGAGCTCCTTCCAGGCTCTCTGCCTGTTTCATCTGGGTCACAAATGGAAGGCCCTCAGCTGTATCTGGTGTGCTAAATAGCCATTTGGTGACTTCCGGGGCAATATTCAAAAACCTGGAGATTTCACATGAAAGTCAGGAGGTCGGAGGTCTCTTGAACAACAGGAAGTGAGGCCGACAGCCGGGAGTGTGGTGGTGGAGAGCCTGGACTGCATGGGGTGAAAGCCAGGCTTTCCCACTTACTAGCCTGTGTGACCTTGGGCAAGTCACTTGCCCTGTCGGAGACTTCCGGTAAAATGGAGTCAAGACCTTGACCTCACTAAGCTGTAAATGAGATGGGGGGTGTGAAGCAACTGGCAGGGCTGGACTTGCACTAGGGGGTAGTGGTCGCTGTTGGTGCAGAGAGAAAACAGGGACTGGGGGTGAGGGGGACCCTGGCCAGCTTCCACACCTCTGCACCCTCAGGGCACCCACCTTCCGGCCCTTCTCGTTGTTGGGTAGATAGCAGTGGCGCGGGAAGCCTCTTGCGGTGAACTTCTTGCCTGGGTTGGGGTGCTCGGGGCCCTGTGGGGAGGGGAGCACAGGCTTGAACCGCAGATAGGTGGGAAGCGGGGTGGGGGGGCTCTGCAGGGTTCAGAGGATTTGAGACCACGGGGCCAGGGCGGGGGTGACCTGGATGCCTGTGGGGATGTCGTAGACAATGCGGATGGTCTGGGTGTCAGCGAAGCCCGGCAGCGAGTGGGGGATGAGGTGGAACTCCATCTTCCCGGGCGGCTGAGTGCCCGTCTTCTCTCCGTAGATGGCCTTGCAGGTGGGGCACTGCAGGCTGCCATCCTGGGGCGGGGACAGCGGCTGGCGGTGAGGCCCCCAGGCATCCCGGCCACGCCCCTCTGCCTGCGCCCCACCCACTGGCCCCACCCACTGGCCCGCGCCTCCCACCTTGTTGCCATTGGAGTACATGGCCACGAGGCACAGCAGGTGGTACATGTGGCCGCAGCGGCCCAGGCGGCCCACAAGCTCGGGCCGCACGCCCTTGTGCCGAAGCACGCCCTCGTAACCGGATGCGGTGACCAGGCGCTCCATGCAGATGGTGCAATCCTGGGGCAGGGGCACAGAAAGGAGACTGAGGATGGGCCAGGGCAGGATACCCTCAGGTGGGCGCGGCCCCTGGGCGGGGCCACGCCCCCAGGCCCCCAAGTCCCCAAGGGTGTCAGACTGCCTTGCCTCTGGTACCCATTTGGCAAAGGGCGAGGACACCCCCTTACACTGAATGCAGACACATGGCAGAGGAAGACGGGGCCCCCTCGCAGCCCCCCTCCAGAGGTATTACAGCTTTAACTATACAAAAGAAAATTTTAAATATGGGGTGGAAAATACGGGTGAAAATAAGATACGAAAACTGTCATTCTTCAGGAGATTGACAAATGTGATTCTATTACATCAAAGCATTTCTGTTTATCACAAGACATTGCATAAAAGGGAAAAGGCGAACCCCCAGACTGGGAGGAGACACTGACACACAGAACCATAGGAGAGGGTGGTAGGGTGGGAGGTCGCCGCCCTCTGCCCAGGCCAGGACCCGCCCGTGGGGGCTCACCTCATCTGGCGGGTTCTTCACCTTCTGCATGTACCTTCGAACCACATCCTCGGGGTTCTTACCTGCAAGGACACAGCGGGGTGGGTTCGAGGGTGCCTAGAATCTCCCCCTGAGGGCTTGGCTCAGGACGGGGTCAGGGGTCAGAGAGGGGTTGGCAGGAGTCACCTGTCAGCGGTTGCCGCACTCAGAGTTGGTGGCAGAGGGGGTCAGGGAAAAGGGAGCTGAGATCAGGAGATGGAGGTGGAGTTCTAAGTCCTATGAGCAAACTGGAGTTAGGGGTCAGAGGCGCTGGGGTCAAGGGTGAGGTTAG